GTTCTGCATGGAGCACTGGGTGTTATATGCAAACAATGAATCATGGAACACTACATCAAAAACTAATGATGTACTGTATGGTGACTAACATAACATAATAAAATTAAATAAAAAAAAAGGGACTGCATGTTGTGTCAATTGGTTGCAGCGTTTTTCATCTATGTGCTCACTCTTTTAAAATGCAAATAAAGACTGCTTCCTGAGAGGGTGCTCTACAGTAAAAAAAAAACAAAACAAAACAAAAACCCACAATAAAACAGAATATTTCTGGGATGCCCTGGTGGCTCAGTCAGCACAGCATTCAACTCTTGATCTCCGGTTGGGCGTCTGAGTTCCACATTGGGTGTGCAGATAGCTTAAAAAAGAAAAATCTTAAAAAACAAACAAACAAAAAGCCAGACTACTTCCATATTTTTCCTTCCCAAAGCTTCTTAGTCATAGCAATAATTCCAGAATCACTTCAATAAAAGAAACCCAATGAACCATTTGATTTATATTTACTAAAAAATTAAACTTTAATTGCTTTTTAAAAATTTTTTTTAAAAGATTTTATTTATTTGACAGAGAGAGAGAGAGCTAGCAGACAGTGAGAAAAGGAACACAAGCAGGGGGAGTGGGAGAGGGAGAAGCAGACTTCCCGCTGAGCAGAGAGCCCGACTTGGGGCTCAATCCCAGGACCGTGGGATCATGACCCGAGCTGAGGGCAGATGCTTAACGATGGAGTCACCCAGGCACCCCTGATTGCTTTTTTTTTAAAAAAGATCTATTTTACAGAGCTCGAGAAAGCACGGGGTGGAGCAGAGGGAGAGGGAGAAGCAGACTCCATGCTGAGCCTGGAGCCCAACACAGGGCTCGATCCCATGAGCCTGAGATCATGACTTGAGCTGAAATCAAGAGTTGACTGCTCAGTTGACTGAGGCACCCAGGTGCCCCTAAACTTTAATTGCTTTATGTATAAAATATTTGCTAACCAACTAAACATATGATTCTTATTTACCTCTTTGAGGACACATACTTCTGTAAATGTGATGAAAGGTACCAAGGAAAAACGCAATTGTGGGGGGCGTACAGTTTCCCGGGGTTCAATGACCGCCAGAAAACACCCACCTGTTCATGTTGACATGACTTCAGTTCAGATATTTTCCCATTAATATTTGGGACTGCATCTCTGCCTGTATAGTCACACTTACTCCTAGTAATGAACAACGATTTTTGTGTGCATTTTTGGTGAACCCACCCATTCAATAATAAACCCTTTATACCAAGTAAACAGAGTATTTCAAAAAGAACAACATAAAAATAAAAATTACTTATCTTTAGTTATTGTATTTGATGAAGCATATTTAATCAAAGTATATTCTGCTTCAAATAATGCAATCATTTAAAATAATGGCTTTTAAACTATTTGGCCTTAAAATCAAAAGTATGTTAATATGACGCTTTTTCTGCACAGGACTGGTATCTAATTCAACAAAATTTTATTTATATGCAAGGGCTTTAGATAATATATTCAAAGTAATTAACTCTAAGGAAAATACTACAAAGAAAGTCAGGCCTTATAAAAACAACAATATTGAAATCAAATACATCATTACTTACGATTAGCTGTTTCAACCCAACAAAAGTCTGCTCTACGGACTCAGCATTTAAGACCTGTCTCTTCGCCGCGGCTCTCTCACCCAGGAAGCGAAGCATCAGGTCTTTAACTGCATCCCCCTTGAAGAAATGTAAGAAAAATATGTCAAGATAATAAAATGTTAATTAAACTCAGCTAACTAGAACCCGTAACTAAATGAAATTTCTTTTTTCTCCATTGGTGTTTGGAGGTTAAAACGTGGTTACAGAACAGTAAAACTTCAATCACTCAGATGCTTGAGCATCACCACCTTTAATGTGTATTTTAGAACTGCTCTTTCTTTTAGAAGAAGGGGTAAATCACCACCACCTGGACCAGGCTTACATGAGAGGCACGCCGAAACAGGAGTGGGGTTCGGGACCAAGGGCCGGATGGGGGCTGCAGCGTGGGCCCCAGCAATCCACCAGGTTGCCTGCGTCTCTGGGAAAGCCTCTGGGATCTGGCACTGCCGTCCTTCAGCCCGCAGACAAGAGAAGAGCGCCCTCCTGAGCAGGTCCTCTGCCAGGGGCTCAGCCAGGCCCTCCGCACACAGGAGTTGTGCTGGGGGCCAGGAAAGTGCCCACCTGGCCTCTGCATGGGGAACTTGGGCCTCACAGCCCGACTCCTTAGGTTTGATGCCCCTGCGGACAGGGCGCAGAGATGGAAAAGTGGAATCCGAAGCTCCCGAGGAAAGGCGGCTGGCGAGGATGTGGATGAAAGGGTCCCTGGCCCACAGCTGCTGGGAACAGAGGATGGCGCTGCCACCGCGGGACAGGATGGACGTTCCTCAGAGAGGCAGAACCAGAACCAGCCTATGACCCCGCAGTGCCACTTCTGGGTATTTATCTGAAGGACATAAAGACACTAACTTGAAAAGATGTCTGCATCCCCATGTTCACAGTCAGCACTTGGCAACGAGCCATGTGTCCGTGGACGGATGAACGGGTAAAGACGACGACGTGGCCACACACCATGGAGCAGGATCAGTTGTAGGAACAGAATGAAATCTTGTCATTTGTTTCAACATGGATGGACCTTGAGGGCATTATGCTAAATGAATAAGTCAGAGAAAGACAAATCCCCTATGATCTCACTTCTGTGTGGAATCTTAAAAAAATGAAAACCAAAAATCCAAACTCAAAGATACGAGAACCCACTGGTGATTGCCAGAGGCAGGGGTAGGGGAATGGGGGATGGGCCGAACGGGAAAGGTGGTCAAAAGGGGCAAACTTTCAGTTATAAAAGAAAGAAGCCCTGGGGATGAATGAACTGCACGGCAACTACAGTTAGTAACGTTGCGGTGCATATTTGGAAGTTGCTAAGAGAATATATCTTTAAAGTTTTTATCACGAGAAAAATAATTCTGTAATATGTAAGGTGAGGGGTGTCAACAAGACCTATCGTGGTGACCCTTTTGCAATATCTGCAAATACTGAATCATGTTACACACCTGAACTTAATATAATGTGTATCACTTACGCCTAGATAAAAACATAAATCAATAAAAAAGAAGAGGAACCAAACCCAAGGGGAAGACGTAAGTGTGAGGGGCAGAGGGCAAGGCGCCTTGGCCAGGCCAGGGGCGGGAGGACTCTCAGCGGCTGGAATGGCCAGGGGGAAACGCCACCTCTTGGGTGCTGGGGAGTAAGAACCCTCTCATCTCGGGGAGTAAAACCCCGGCTTCCAGCTGCAGGCCGCTGAGTGCTAGCCGTGCAGGGCCACCGAGAGCACATGGTGACTGAGGACGGAGAGGAGAGCAGTGTGGACGTGTTCCCTGCGGACTCCACAAGCACCCCCGCCCCCTCCTATTGTTTTCCTACCCTTGGCGTAAGCATGCAAGGTGAATCTTTTGTGGTTGCCCAGAACGGTGACACTTAAAAAGCACCAGCCTGTGGACGACGCGTGCAGGAGAGGCAGAAAAGATGCTGCAGGGGTCTGCGGCTGCCCTTCCACGGGTAAAGGGGGAGAGGCGGCTTTGGCAGGTGGGTTCCATGTTGCGAGTCTGGTTCCGGCCTTGGGCACTGAGCCCCGTGCTCCAAGAGGCCAAGCCACACCTCTCTAGCGAAAATCTAGAAGCAGCAGTTTTATGGTTTTTTGCTTTCAGAATGTGAGGTGAAATGCTTCAAATGCTGGAGCCACAGAAGGGGCTAACTGGTCTAGGAGGGACAATTAAAGGGCAGAATAAGAAGAGCTCTGCCATATGGCTCCATAAAGCTTTGCAGGAATGCAACTCCTATTAGACAAGGGGTTGACCTGGGTGGGAGGAGCTGTGAGTCAGGAAAGGGCAAGATCACATCTCCATGCCGCAGAGGGAGGACCCATTTAATTCCTCCATCCCTGCAACATTCTCTGTTAATTAGACCACACTGCAAACATCTTTTGCCCTTAAAAATCTCTGCTGGTTAACATTTTCGTTAGCACAGGAAGTTCCTGAGACATGAGCATTTGTAGGACTAACAAACATCTCACCTATGAAAGCCCAGGAATGGGACAAAATGTCTTCCCCTGAACCTACTCCTCCTGTGTCACTGAGCTGGAGGGAACTATGGCCCAGGGGTCATGGCACCTGACTGCACATCCTCCTGTGGTCGTTGGGGAGAGGGGAGCAAACTTGCCCCGCTGTGGGATTTTTCTCAGAGCTATGTTGCTGCCCCTGGGACGGGACCCGCCTGGAACCCTTGGTCACCTCCAAATCAGCAAACTCTTCAGTGAGGGACTAGTGCATCCAAGGCCAGAGCAGGAAACGTGGGGAGATAGCATGGGAATGAGCCAGGACTCAGGCAGGCAACGGGGCGGATGCCTGTTGTTGCCCCCCCCCCACCCCCGTCAGAGGTGTTTATGCAAGAATAAGTGGCTGATCTCAGCTCACAGATGGCCATGGGCTGCCACCCCTCCTTCAGTGTGGGGACAGTTCAGTAGTCCCTTCTCGATTTTAATGGACAAAGACAAAAAGGAAACCAGAGCAGCTGATTCACAGCATGCAGGCTTTACTGTCTAGGAAACCTGAAGACACAGTGGTCATGGGGCAGTGATCTAAAGAGACAGTGGGCCCTGCAACTGACCCAACACACAGGGAGCTCTCTGCCATGGCTCCAATGGAGAAGCTCCGGGAGCATGCGATCCTCTTGCCTGTGTTTGCTCTCTCCCAGTGTAAGCAAAACCTCCTGAACAAACATCAAAGAAATAAAAGCAAGGCAGAACCCCAAACTGGTGGAATATAAAATGGTGCAGCCATCTGGAAGACAGTTTGGACGTTCCTCAAAACGTGAACCCCAGGGGGGCCTGGGTGGCTCAGCTGGTTAAGTGTCTGACTCTTGGTTTTGGCTCAGGTTGTGATCTCAGGGTCCTGGGATCGAGCCCTGCATCGGGCTCCATACTCATTGGGGAATCTGCCTGAGATTCTCTCCCTCGGCCCCTAGCCTGTGCACGCGTGTGTGCACACATGCTCTCTCTAATAAATAAAGTAATCTTAAAAAAATGAACCCCGGAGTTGCTACGTAACCCAACAGTTCCACTCGGAGGTACGCACCCAAGAGAAATGGAAATGTGACCACACAAAAACTTGTTCATGAATGTTCATAAGCAGCATCATTCACAACAGCCAAAAAGTGGATTCACAACAGCCAAAAAACGGAAACAAATGAAATGTCCATCAAGGGATGAATGGATAAGATGTGGAATATTCATAAACTGGAGTATTATTTGACAATAACAAGTAATGATGTAGGGATGATACATGTTACAAAATGGACGGCTCTTGAAAACATTATCCTAAGTAACAGAAGCCAGTCACGCAAGACCACATATGGTATGACTGCATTTGTATGAAATGTCTAGAACAGGAAAATCCACAGAGACAGAGAGATCAGTGCTTGCCTGGAGCTGGGGGGCGGGGCGGGGGTTTGGCTTCTTTTGGGGAGACAAAATGTTCTAAAAATTGACTGTGGTGATGGTTGCACAATTCTGTCAAAATGCTAAAAACCAGGGGCGCCTGGGTGGCTCAGTCACTGAACGTCTGCCTTCGGTTCAGGTCATGATCCCAGGGTCCTGGGATCGAGCCCCGCATCGGGCTCCCTGCTCGGCGGGGAGCCTGCTTCTCCCTCTCCCACTCCCTCTGCTTGTGTTCCCTCTCTCGCTGTCTCTCTTTCTGTCAAATAAATAAATAAAATCTTTTAAAAAAAATGCTAAAAACCAGTGAATTGTAAGTTGAATGTGTGAACTGTATTGCATGTGAACTCTATTTCCCTAAAGTTGTAAAAACAAAACCAAATCTAAACCTTTTTTTCTTGTGAGGCCCCAAACAAATCAGAATTTGAGAGAACGCTTCAACAAGGAAAACAGTGGGGGGCTGTCACAGAATGGCCTGAACTGGCCTCCCCCCGTCTTCCGGGCTCACTCTCACGCTTCAACTCAGTTCAGCAAACTTAGCTCAGGAACCGTTCACGAGCGTGGTGAGCAAAAGCAGCAGGGACTTCTTACAAGTCACCGGGACTGGACTGTCCTCAAGTGAGGAAAGGGACGAAGCAATTGTTTTCAGACACAGAAGAGGGCTGGGACCTGAGAAATCGGGAAAGATGACTTGAGCTCCTGAATTCAAAGGCACATTTGGAGCACAGTGTGAAGAGGAGTCCCAAGCAGGGCGTGGTGAACTTGCTGAGGTGGGGAGGCAAAGTTAGGAATCCGAGAGGCTGAGGTGGCTGGAACTGGCAAGAAGGAGCACTGAAAATGAAGGAACTCTGCACAGAAGCCTAAGTCTATTGCTGGACACCAAGCAGTCCGTGCACACGGTGATGCCCTAGAAGGCTGGGTGAAATGACAAGGGAGCTGAGCGATTCTCAGAGCTTACACAGGCTGAAAGATGTCAAGTTTATGCCAACTGTGTGGAGCACTCTTGTGCACACTGAGGCTTTCGACAGATGTCAGAAAGGTCACCCACGAGGAAAAGCTACTCTAAACTCACTCTCAGAAGCTTAAAAACAAACCTGAAAAAGATCAAGTCAATCTGCATATAACATACCTGCCGACCAGAACGGAGTGCAAGTCTTTTTGAAGACAACACAATACAGACTTCCAAACACATGAAACCCACAATGTCCATCCTCTAACCAAAAATGACGAGACATGGGACAAAGCCAGCACATGTGACCCACAGCCAAGAGAAGAGATAAATACAAACAGATCCAGAGATTACGGAGATGATGGACTACCCAGAGAGGAACCTTCAGACAGCTGTTATAAATGTCCGTGAGGATCTGAAGCAAAACTTCAACACACTGAATAAAGAAAAAGAAAAAAAAGAAGCAAATGCAAATTCTGGAGACAAAAAATATGAAAAATTCACCAAAAAGCATCAGTTGCAAACTAAAAAGCACAGAAGGAAAGACTTACGGACTTCAGGACATGACTGCAGGAATTTCAAAGGGAAGTAAAAAGAGAAATAAAACTGAAAAACAAACACAGATCCTTAGTGACCTCTGGCAAAATTGAGTAATGTGTGGAATTGAGTCCCAGAAGTAGAGAGGAAGGAGGGAAAACTGAAAAGCTATTTGAAGAGGTAAGGACTAGAATATTCCCAACTGGGAAAACACATCCCAGTAAGGTCAACAAATCCTAAGCAAGATAAACAGAAAGGAAAACCACTTGAATGCATATCAGGATCAAACAGCTGAAAACCAGTGATAAAATCTTAAAAGTAACCAGAGGAAAACATGTACATGAGGTATAGAAGAGTGAAGATAAAAATTATTATAGGACGCCTGGGTGGCTCAGTTGCTTAAGTGTCTGCCTGCAGCTCAGGTCATGATCTCAGGGTCCTGGGATCAAGTCCCGCATCGGTCTCCCTGCTGAGCGGGGAGTCTGCTTCTCTCTCTGACCCTCCCCCTGCTTGTGCTCACTCTCTCTCAAATAAATAAAATTTTAAAAATTATTATAAACTTCACATCCAGAACATGATGGAAGGGCATCTTTAAAATGTTGAATGGAAAAAAAAACACCCCTCAACCTGGAATTTTATGTAAACATATCGCATACCCAGAAAAAAATAACCTTTAAAAATGGAGATACATAAATGATTTTTGCGGATTAACGAAAGCTGAGAACATGTGTAGCTGGTGGAGCTGCAGGAACAGGTGGGTCCTTGGCTTCCTGGAGGCTCCTGACCCGGGTTTCCACACGGACCGTGTGGGCTTCCCTGAGGGGATTCCGGTGGAATCCAAGTCGCAGGAAGCGTGAGAGGGAAGGCAAGAACAGGGAAAGAGAATGAGAAAGGGGTGGTGGAAGGCTCCAGGCTCCAAGTGTGTGTGCCAGGTTTCCCGTGCCGCCAGCACAGGCTGGGGAATTCTGATGCCCGCAAGAGGGGCCCAACCCCATCACCTTCACCTTCACCAGCCTGTTACCCTCACCACTGAAACTCTGCTGCTTCTATTTATTCCCCTTTTCCCTTTCTCTCTCTTTAGTGAACAAGCACCACACAAACAATTCTCCACTTTCATTCCTTACTGGTTCTGAAAAGTTCTCAACTACCATTTCCCCACAAACTTTCCATTTACTCCTTTAAGGACAGAGGCCACGTACAACCATAACGAGCTGAAAATGTCTGTGTCGTCCTGATGCCACTGGAGTGGAAAGAGGTGTTACACGTTCACCTTTCAGCTTCTAACTTAGCTAAGACCGCCACCGACGTCATTTCAGAGAGAAATTAAAATCTTTTCAAGTTTTATCCTCCAGGAAGGTAATTTTTAATGAGGCGAGCAATTTGGAAGAAAATCATGTTTCAGAAAGCTGATTGAGAATTAACAACTCTGTCGTAGTAACAGTGACAAGGGGGAGTTTATTAATAAGTAAATCCAAGAAATGGTTTCAAAAGCTTGGTGTGCCCAGAAAATTAATAGAGAAACCAATCTTAAGTCTTCTGGCAAATAAACACAGCATGTCGGTTCAAGGTTAACCGTGCATTTTCTTTTGTCTTGGGAATGATAATATACAGATGAAGAGACACAGGTGAATGCACATCCAGCACACCTGTCATGTGGGAGTCAAAGGTATTCTGGGAACCATTCTTGGTTCAAATTTCAATCTACCACAAGGTTCCCAAAATAACCACTGTGGACTGCAAGAGGTACTGAAGACATTACTGGAGGACTTAAAGGAAATGAAAAGAAGGAAGGCTGTGCCCTGGTCGGCTCCCTGCGCTCTGCCCAGGCAGCGGGAGCTCCCTAACCCTTGCTGACTTGTGTCCTGTCAGTGTCCTGACTTTCTCACGGGCAGCTGTGTGGAACTGGGGAGGTAAATCACGGAAGCTTTAGAGTTGGGGAGGACCTATGACAGGGCCTCTGTATCTGATTCAATCTAGGCGAAACCAGCACTGAATTTCAGGGCTTGTGTTTCCTGACTCAAGGAGGACTGACATTTTGGGCAGCACAGTATTTCTGGTCTGGCACTAACCAGCCCACAGGCTATTTAGCATGCTTGGCCCCATCCATGAAATGTCATGTGCTCACCCTAGACCTCTGGCAACCAGAGTGAAGCACCACTACACATCTCCAAATGTGCCCTAGAACCCCTGGATGAAGTCATTTCCATGGCAACCTTCAATTTTCCCCTGAATTACAATGGGGGGGAAGCAAACTGCAAACAACAGATAGTGTGGAAAGGAAGGCCAGTCCCACGGAGGCTGCAGGAACATGGTGGCCGAGCACACAGTCCCCCAGAAGCAGGGAGGGAAGAAACATGGAACAGTAAAGCCCCCCCCTCCTTCCCCTGTGGGTAGAGTGGATGTAGACAGGGCCAGGGAAGGGTGGGGAAGGAAATCTGTGAATACATAAACCAAATCCTGCATGTCCAAGTACCCCCTGAACTCAGAGTCCATACCCGGAATTCATTAAAAAGATCCCACAAAAGTAAGTTTATGTTCAGTATATTCTGCTTGAGACAGTGGAGAAGGAAGCCTCTCACAATGCCTGGTAAACAGTATACACACAATAAATGTGCGTTTGGTACCTGAATATGCTGTCAACACTGCCATGCGAAGGGTCAAAACCTATGGGCTCGCATTTCTAGGTCCCTAATGTGGCCCTTCTCGCAGGGCTCAGCAGTTTACCAATGCCACGAGAACACACATCCCACGCACTGGGCTTTCCAACCAGCCATGCGTGTGCAGGAGCGGGCACATGCTTCCCGAAAGGGCTGCTGGAGACAGGAGGGCAGACACACGCAGGACACAAGGCCAGCCACCTGGGCCAGACCGGTGCCCCCCATGCACAGGGCTGGGCGGCAACCTGGGCAATCACCTGCCACTGGCATCCGATGTGCTCACCTTATAGGTACGCGTTACACGTACTTATAAACATTCTCACCATACTATGCATGCTGCATGCCATCTTGTATCCAGTTTTTCAAATTTAACAAAATATGGACCTCGTTAAAAATTCTGCTATATCATTTTTTAATATTTATATTTAATTTTTTAAAAAAGATTTTATTATTTGAGAGAGACAGCACGAGACAGTGTGCACGAGCGGGGGGTGGGGGAGGGCAGAGGGAGAGGGAGAGGCAGATTGCCCGCTGAACAGGAAGCCCGGGAGCCCGATGTGGGGCTCGATCGCAGGACCTTGAGATCATGACCCCAGCTGAAGGCAGACGCTTCACTGACTGAGCCACCCAGGCGTCCCTGTATCACCATTTTTAATACCTACGTTAATATTCCATTGTACAGATGAGTCAAATGTGTTCAACCAGCCTCTTGATAATGGGCTTCTGGATCGTTTCAGATGCTTTGCAGTAACAAACCACACTGTGATGGGCATCCCAAAAGCTGGGTATTTGTATACCAGTGACATTATTTCCTTATAAAAAAATTCCTAAGACTGGGATTTCTGGACCAAATAATATGCACATTTGGATGCTGATTTAAAAACTTTACTTAAAAATGTTTGTACTGACTTATGGTCCCATCAGGGCTGCCTGAGTCAGGCCATTTTCCCACACTCTAGCAAACATGGAATAATCACGAACGAAATGCCTAATTAGATAACAGAAAATGGAGATAACCTTATCATCTTTGATTGCTAGATTGAACTTTTCTATGTCACTATTATATAGAACATTGAAATATTTTTGTGATTTGTTACTTCGTGGGGCCATCCACATTTTTCTTAATGAGTCTATAAAACTCTTTCTACATCAATCATGTTATATGCTAAACAAATATACTCTTCAGACTTTAAAAAAAAGGAATGGGGAACTTATCATTTGCTGAAGCTTAAATGTCACAAATAACCTGAGCAGCTGAAGTTCACAGCTACGTCAGAGAATTATGATGTAACTATCTACCTTGCTGGCATTTACTTCTAAGACTTTGACTAGTGCCTTAAATACATTACATTAGGGAAATCAACAGAGTTCCAAATTAACTAGGGATGTAACACAGACTCTCCAAATGAGGATTTTAGGAATTGCTAAAAAATGAGGACTTTTCAATCCCTGAAAGGTATTTATGTGTGTGTGTGTGCGCGCGCACGCACACACACACACACATCCATATGAGGGGGGTGAGGGAGAGAGAGGGAAAGCAGAAAGAGATGAGAAGGAACTAGAAGTGGCCGCTGAGGAATCCAGCCACAAACACCCCCCTGAAGATGTCCTGCACCCACCTGGATGTTGTCAAACTTGAGGCCCGGCATGGTGAGGCTCTCCTTGTCCACGAACACTGTGCTGTACTGTTGGGTGGCTACTGAAATCAGGACGTCCCTGGTCCCCTCCCCGGGGAGCCAGGCATCACTTCTGCGATCCATCTCGCTCATGCTCAGGGCTGTGGCAAAGGGGTCCTCACTCCCCGCAAACACAGCCTGGATCTGTGAAAACGGTTTTGGAGACTGAGGGATTTCTACAGAAGCTGGGGAAACACCCGCTTTTGACTTTTCGATCCCTGGGGAGTGAGAAGGCTCAGCGGCACCTGGGGACCTTTCTCCCCCCGGAGTGGAGAGTGAAGACAGTTTTTCTGGAGCTGAAGAACCTGCATGGGGGTTACTGACGGAAATGAAAGTGGAAGTCGTGAATGAATCAAAGAAGTCCGAGGCCAAGGAATTAGTGTTGGCAGGATCACCAAAAAATTTACTCAGGCTGGGGCTTGGCTGCACAGCCTGGGGAGGGGTCTTGGCCACCGTTTCGCTCGCACCACTGAAGCTCGGAGACTTCACCATCTGGGACTCGAAGCCATCCCGCAGGAGCAAGGGCGGCTGGGAGCGGGCGGGAAGCGACTGGCTGAAGATGGTGCACACTGGGACGGGCTCCTCATTGGGAGGGGGCTGTCTCGGAGGTGGGGCGCACCCCGGCCCCTCCGGATGAGTGCTCCCGTCCCCCGGGCCAGGGTCCTCTGCACCCTCCTCTCCCGAGGCAGGCACACCTCTGACTTGGTTGTGGTCCGGGTCGGGGGTTGTGTCAGGGATATCGTTAGATGCAATCTCTCCATCACTTTCACTGTCCTTGCTCAGGGTGTCCACTGCTCCTTCGTCCCCGAGACTTTCCAGTGTGGGACCAGCGTTGCCTTCTGCAGGCTCCACAACATCCTGCAAACAGCCAAGGTCACCTGCGTCATCTTCGCTATTATTAGGAGAGTCAGAAATGAGGACGCTCTCCATCAGGTGCTCGTTAAGCTTATCTACGAAATTATTAGAATCTTCCGATATAGTCTCATTCTCTTCAGACCCAAACTCGTCTCCACCGAGGTCAATGGTTTCCTCGTGATAAAGCAGCTGCCCCTGCTCTCCCTGCGGAGTGGTGCTCCGGGTTTGCCCCTCGGCCGGACTCGAGTCCTCAATCACGCTCTGCTTGGCGCCGTTAGTGTTCTCCATGGTCCCCTGAGGCAAAGACAGATATGAACCAACCTCATCAGCTTTCTATCTCAGTTATCGTTGAGCTGATTTTACCTTCCTTTTAAAACTGTTTTCAAACTTAAGAACAAATGGTGGATACATGTCATTACACATTTGCCCAAACTCATGGAAGGCACAACACCAAGAGTGAACCCTAATGCGGACTATGGATTTTGTGTGATAATGATGTGTCAACGCAGCTTCACTGACTGCAACAAATGTACTGCTTGGTGAGGGAGGTGGAGGGGATATGGGCAATCTCTGAACCTTCTGCTCACAAGTTTGCAGTGAGCCTACCACAACTGCTCCAAAAAATAAAGCCTATTGAAAAATATTTAACAGTTATATATTCACGTGGTTCAAAACTCAAAAGACTCCATTTCTCCAGCCATCTATCGATTGATCATGGTAAAAGACACATAATGTAACCATCTTGATCATTTACCATCTTAACCATTTTTGACTTCACAATTAAGGGGTATTCAGTGCATTCATGTCATTGTGCAACCATCACCACCACCAATCTCCAGAACTCTTCTCATTTTGCAAAACTGAAACACTGTACCCATTAAACAATGACTCCCCAGCACCCCCTGCCCCCCAATGCCAGCCCCTGATAACGGCCTACTTTATGACTCCGTGAATGTGACTACTCTAGGTACTTCACATAAGTGGGACACCACAGTATTTGCCCGTTTGTGACTGGCTTATTTCACTTAGCTTAATGCCCTCAAGGTTCACCTATGTTGTAGTATGTCAGAATTTCCTTATTTTTTTAGGTTGACTAATATTCCATGTATCTCCATACCACATTCTGCTTCCGCCTTCATCCACGATGAACACTTGGCTTGCTTCCACGCTTCGGCCACTGACTGCTGCCATGAACATGCATGTACAAATATCTCTTTGAGTCCTTGCTTTTAATTCCTTTGGGTATATACCCAGAAGTAGGATTGCTGAATCATATGACAATTCTATTTTTAATTATTTGAGCAACCAACAAACTGTTTTCCATAGTAGTTGCACCATTTTACATTTCCTGCAGGAATACACAAGGATTTCAATTTCTCCACGTTCTTGATGATACTTGTTATTTCCTGTTCTGATACTAGCCTTCCTAATGGGGGTCAGGTCTCCAGCCTTTTAAACCCTACTTGTTCTTAGCGGGCCGAGTAGGCGAGAAGCCAAGAAAACACAAAGGCCCTATTGCCTGGCCCCTGCCTACCAGCCTAGCCAACAATCTTAATTCAATTCTTGTGGATTTACACTATTAGGGACGATGGCTGAGTCTCCTTGGGTTGCATTTCTAGAGAAAGTCGTATTATTGTAGTGTGCACCTATGTGGGTCCACATGTCAGGTTTTGGTTATAAAAGTTTGGGAAACTTGAATGGATCGTGCCTGTGACATTTTCCCATAAGAAGTGCTATAGTGGGTTTGGGGCAGTGTGCAGTAAGTCGGTGATAATAAAGAATGAGATTTTGAAAGCAAACTAAAACAACAACAACAACAACAACAACAAAAACCTCTATTATGACCCAGTTGTAGACCCCTCTTCCATGAAGCCAAGACACTCCAACCTGTAACAATCTCCCCATTCTCCCTGGGACACTGTCTGCCTGAATTGAGCATGAGAAAGAAAAACTGTACCAAGACAGAGGCACCCTCATTGAGGCAGGCTGACCACTGGAGCTAACGACAGCAAACCAGACAAATTACTGGTGCGAATTCTGTCCTCGGTACTGTTCTAAGGGTTGTATGTGTATGTTCTTACTTGATCCTCAGAACCACCCTGTGATACAACTACTATCATTTTCTTCATCTTGCAGATGAGGAAGCTGATGCTCAGGGAGGTCAAGCTCGCTCAAAGCCGTGCCACTAGTAAGCAGAGAAACCAGGGCCGGTTAAAGCTGAAATGTTGGGTTGACACTGGATGGTAGAGGCCACAGAACGAAACAAGGAGTTTGAACTCTAAAGAAAATGTGCTCCTTTTCTTGAAGAACTTTTTTAGCAAAAGTTACTGTATATAGTTCTTATAGTGAACAAAGTCCAATTAAGAGGGTTTCTCTAGAAAAAAAAAATGCCTGCTTGACCTTTAAAAACTATACTTAGCTGATCTCTAGATAAGAGTACTTCTTTGGCAACACTTCCACAGTATTTCAAATTAGGCGTCCTTCCTTTTTGCAGCCTGGTCACCCTGAGCTCCAAAAACAAGATTAAAGTAGATAATCAAAGGTACACACTTTGGAGAAGTTTCTTGTCCAGCACAGTCAGTTACTAATTCCCCATTTGTTACATATTCACCTGATTAGCTATAAAGGAGGCAAAAATGAAATGAAAAAGGAACAAAAAGCCCTTTTCTGGTAACGTTTCACAGCAAGGCAGAGGAGAGGTTGCCTGGAGAACATCAAAGAATGGACATGCCGTCACATGCGGGGCTGTCCCCTGGGTCCTCTCTGCAGGAGAGGCTGGGCAGGAAGACCATGGGAACAGCAAGCACGACTTCCTTTCACCTGGACAGCAGCTGAATGCAACACCATCAATGCCCTAATACACAGAAGGGGACGCTGAGAATCAGAGCAGTGATGGGACTCAGCAACATCACTGGTAGTGGGGCACCTGGCTGGCTCAGTCGGTAGAGCACATGACTCTTGATCTTGGGGTTGTGAGTTCGAGCCCCACATTGGGTGTAGATAGAGATTACTTAAAAATAAAATCTTTAAAAGAAAATAATAAAATCACTGGTAGGGGCGCTTGGGTGGCTCAGTCTGACTCCCGACACTGCCAGGAATGGAGTTTGGTCCTTTCTGACTAACCCAGCCCCAGCACAGTGCCTGCCTACCTGGGAGATGCCAGTAACTACAGCTGGGTTAACTTGGCTCTGAGCCCCTCTCAGAATAAAAACAGTTCAGATTTTAACTCCAGAAACCCCAATACTACACTAATGGTTAATTGTAGAATAATGCAGGATATAAGAAAAGGTCCGATACAATTACAGGAAAACGTAAAGAATATCAGAACTGGCAAAATCACAGTGTTCTCTTTATATACAGGTAAGAGTGGAGAAAGTTCTACTCTTAAAATAAGCAAAAATAACTGCCAGTCAAGGTTAATTTGTATGTATTAGATACAGAGATGGACTAAAATGGGGGCACCATAGGAAAGACTGTCCAGATAACAATGAGCTACTTCCCACAATTCACTGGAATAAGAGACAGCTAATCACTCTACAAGACCCACTCATGATGTGGACTGGATACTTACAGCAAGAAACAACTGCTTCAGCAGTAATTAAAGAAACACAGATTGAAACTATGATTTTTTAGGAAAAAAAAATTGTCTAGGACATAGATTTTTAAGAAATGACAGCTCCTAGAGAGCTTTGGGGAAACTTATTTATTGAGAGTAGAAATGTAACCTTTCTGCAGAGCCTACAGGCAAAGGATAAAACTCCAAGGCAGCAATTCTATTTACCAATTTATCTAAAATGTTTTTAAAGTAACAATCTTCCGAAAGGAAGAAAGCAAGGTAAACATCAACATTCTTGCAAGTCAATGCTTGTTAGTAACTATGTTTTCTCTTTAGAAACCTTGTTTCTAATCCAATCTAAATTAGAAAATCAATGTTTCCTAGTGATAAAGTCTAAAAAGGTGCTGCCTAATCCAGAGTAAAAATTATATTGTTAATCCTAATTTCTTTGGGGGAAGGGCAGAGGGAGAGGGACAAGCAGGCTCTCCACTGAGCAGGGAGCCCGATGCGGGACTCGATCCTAGGACCGTGGGATCACGACCTAAGCCAAAGGCAGATGCTCAACCAACTGAGCCACCCAGGCACCCCAATCCTAATTTCTGAATAGAAACTACGTATTTATTAAAAACCACTGCCAAAGGGCTGTTTTGAAATGTCCTGCAACTCACAGCATACTACTGTGTCTTACATCCCAGGGTAACTCGGTACTCCCATGTTGTAGGGAGTGACACAGAGAGAAAGCTAGGTAGCCAACACACATACATGAGGCAAATAGAAAAATGGCATAGGGGCGATGGAGATATTCTGGACAGAAAGTGATAGCTCAGGTACAAATTTTCTTCTCTCAGTAGGAGAACTTAGAAGTTCTTTTCTTGTAACTTTTCCCTTTCTCTCCTAAAGGTGCATTTCTATAAAAAACTTTTAACGAATTTTGAGTGGATACAAACAATATTTATAACATACGGTTGAGACACTCTAATATTTACTTCCCTCCCTTTTAGTGGTAATATTCTGAAATTTGCCATACTCTTATTTTTCTTTAATCTTCCACATGCTTACTTCCTTAACACGTTACTTAGATTTTTCAGTTTTTGACTTAATTTCCCCTCTCTACACTTAACCTTGAGATTCAACTTTATTAGTAGCATGAGGCTGGGATTCATTCATCTTTGCTGTTGAGAGTGCCCTGTTGTGTGATGGTGTCACAACATACGATCTATTCTTTTTTTTTTTTAAGATTTTATTTATTTATTTGACAGAGAGATAGAGAGAGAGCACAAGAAGGCAGAGAGGCAGGCAGAAGGAGAGGGAGAAGCAGGCTCTCCACTGAATGGGGAGCCTGCTTCTGAGCTGAAGGCAGCCACTTAACCGAATGAGTCACCCAGGCACCCCAACATATGATCTATTCTATCACCGATGAACATTTGAGGTGTTTTTAGGTTTTTGATAGTACAGACAGTGCCATTATGAATATTCTCATACATGTCTCCTGGTGTTTATGTGCAAATTTCTTCAAGATGTTAGTTATCAAATGTTATGTGTATGTTGGTTCATAGAGAATATATCTCTTCATCTTTGCTAGATGTCAAATTGCCCTCCTAAGAGTTTGTACCAATTTACACACATAGTAGCCGTGTGAAAGTATTCTTGTAAATCACATTTACCTACACTTGGTACGGTCAGACTTCTTAATTAATATCAAGAATATATAAAAAATTCCTATGACTCAATAGGACAATAAATGACCCAACAGAAAAATAGGGCAAAGATCCAAACAGGCTGAAAGGGATACGCATTTCACAAGCATGAATCCTGTGACTCAACAGCCATCCATCTTGATTTTTCCAGGACGCTTCCATTCATAACCATGGTTACAGTTAAAACTAAGTATGTCTTTTCGCTCTCAAGAGTTTTGGTTAAGACAACAAATGGTTCTATGACCTATGTATCACAGAGGAACTCCTCACATGGTAGCATAAGCTATGACCATGAATGCTTATCAACAGCAACTCCAAACAAAATACCCGCCTCCTTCCAAAGATTAAAAAAAAAAAAAAAATCTGGTAACAAGTACTGCCCGTAGACACAATAATAAATAAATAGCATATTAAAAATGGAACATTAAAAGTAAAACGAATGAACCATGCTATATCTAGTGCATCAATGTTTGAACCTCACATATCTGATTTTGCACAAAGAATGAGTAGAAAAATAAGCAGCATAATTTTCTGTATAAGGTTCAAAAACACGTAAATTAAACAATATATTGTTTTAAGAATACAAGTGCAAAAGCAAGGTGATTATAATATCCATTCCTTTGGGGAGGGGGCTGGAGGTGATGGCAAGAGAAGGTTTGATCAGGGAAGGACATATGAACAAGCCATTGGCAACTGTCCATTTCTATTCTGGTGGGCAGAAGACTGGGTCAGGTTTGCACTTGATCTTTATGTCTTCCATGAATGTTACATGTGGTCTTTATATTTCATAATTAAAAAATGGAACAGCAGATGTATTTGTTTTTGATTTCTGTGTAACATAATTCATTATTTCTATTATTGGCTTAATAATTTTATTAAATCATAGACATGATTTTAGCTTATGTTAGCATTAAAATGCTAGCAAAGAAAGTGGACTTTTTGTTCAGGTGAGTGCTTTGCACGATGCCCTTAATTAATGCCTTATTTATTTTTTTTTGAGAGAGAGAGAGAGAGGGAGCTCATGCATGAGCAGGGTGGGGGGAGCAGAGGGAGAAGGAGGGAGAGAATCTCAAGCAGGCACCAGGACCAGTGTGGAGCCCTATTCGGGGCTTGATCCTACAACCCTGAGATCATGACCTGAGCTGAAATCAAGAGTTGGATGCTCAACCAACTGAGCCACCGAGACGCCCCTAGGGCCAGGATTTAAACTTCAGGAGTTGTGGTGGTGTCCAGGCTTTTAGCAACTAACGCTGCTGCTTCTCTCACTGTAACCTTCTTGAAACCAAAGCTCATTTATATTTTCTTAAAGATTTTTATTTACTTTTTTGAGAGAAGAAATAGAACGAGTGGGGGGGGAAGAGGCAGAGGGAGAGGGAGAAGCAGACTCCCTGCTGAGCAAGGAGCCCGATGCGGGGCTCGATCCCAGGACCCCCAGATCATGACCTGAGCCAAAGGCAGACGCTTCACCGACTGAGCTCCTAGGCGCCCCACCTTACATTTTTTTTTAAGTGCTAACTTTTAAGTGATTATTTAAGAACTGAAGTTTCATTAAGAACAAAACTACAGTAGTTCAGGTTCCCTTTCTGGACATGATGCTGGAATTATAAGTCTTTTACCAGACTGCGATAATGTAAACCCTATTTCCATGAAAATATATGCCATGTAGTGGAAATCTAATTAGCATATACTTACAAAAGCCCCCATGTAAAGAACACCCACTGCAGATCAAGCATTTTACCTGTGTTATTTAATCGTCAGGACCAACTTATAGAGTACCATTATTACCTCCATTATGCTGCAGAGAAAACCAGATGATTTGGCCAAAGGCATACTGTCAATATTTGATTTCAACACAGATTTTTCTGCCTTTGCTCTCCCTGTAAGGCTGCTAGGACAGATCACCATCTAGAGCAGCAGAGGTGAGTCCGAAGGAGCACTGAATACAAGCTCTGAATAACTGCTGAGTCTTAGCTTCACTACTCAGCAATCTTTGAAAAATGACTTAATTTCTTAGTTTTGCTTTCCTCAGTCTGTAAATTGGGGTCATAAGGAATAAAGAGTAACTGATGCACAAGGCACTTCTAAACTGTAATGAGCTACATATACATTAGCACAGTAAACTATAATTTTAATAAAGAAGCACAGTGCTAACATGCTGTTGGAAGTCAGACTGTGAGGACAAGTGAAAGACACTGCCACTAAATTACCCTAACTGCATTCCCCTCCCCCTCTTCCACCCCACCACAGTGGGCCAGGCTCAGGGGCTGTCACTGGGTACCATCCTGAACTCATGAAAGGAAGCCAGGAGGAGAGTATTTGGACGCAAAGACACCATATCTCCCAGCAGCCACGAGAAGGGGGAAACTGTAGTCCAAGTTCCGCCTGGTTAAACTTTCGTGGTCAAGTGTGAGGAACACACACGCATTTCAGAATATATCTCTGAGCCCTGTGCTTCTTTTAAAATAAATGTTTTCTGGGGCGTCTGGGTGGCTCAGTCGTTAAGCGTCTGCCTTCGGCTCAGGTCATGATCCCGGGGTCCTGCGATCGAGCCCCGCATCGGGCTCCCTGCTCCGCGGGAAGCCTGCTTCTCCCTCTCCCACTCCCCCTGCTTGTGTTCCCTCCCTCGCTGTGTCTCTCTCTGTCAAATAAATAAAATCTTAAAAATAAATAAATAAAATAAATGTTTTCAGTCTTCGCAGTATACGCACTCTATCGACCAGTTCCGTCCCGAATGTGGCTCTGGAAGGAATCGGGACGTGGAATAAAGTGGCGTCTACGCTTTCACACAAACCGCCGCATTTACCCTCCCAATACTGAGAGTTTGGTCTGGCAGGTCCCGTCTGTCTACAGACGAGCAAACTAACAAGAGAAATCAAGGGGCTTGCTCAGGCCAAGCAGCTCACTGAGTGCCACAGCTGGGACCTGGAGGAGACCTCCCAGGACGAGACGTCACGGAGCAGCCCTCCGCGAAGGAGCCCCACAAGGCGGGGACCGGGACAGGAGACCCCGGAAAGGAGCTCCGGCAGGAGACACCGATGAAGAGACCCTTCCTCCCTGCGGGAGGAGGGGCCCGGCGACAAGCCACCGAAGGGGTCCACCTCCCGTGGAGGAGCTTCCCGAGCGGCTGGGGTCAGGGCCGGCGAGGCTGCGGTTAGGGACGACCTGACCCCCTCCCCACATTCCAGGCCCCCGAGTCTCACCTGCCCCCTGCCCCCTGGGGTTGGGGAAGCGGTCACCTGCTGCCGCGACCAGAGTCCGGGGAGAGAGCGGATGAAGACCGGAAGGCGAGCCTGGCGCCAGCACCTCCTCCGGCTTTTACGCCTGCGCGCGCTCTCCGTTCGGGCGGCTTTTGCGCAGGCCTAGTGCAGGGACGGCCTCCCAGCCATTTCCGGTTCGTGCTGCGGTGGGCGGGGCCTACTCACCAAGGTGCTATGGTGGGCGGGGAATGGAGACTGCTTTCTCTTAGCTCCACAGCTTAATCTCAGGCAATAGGAGGCAGTGAATAGGATGCTCCAGTCTGCGCCTCTGCTTCCTTGATTTTTTTACTGGAATCACTGAGGGCTCTTTATTCATTTGAGGGATATCTGTTGAATATTAACTGTGCCTGGCAGGGCACTAGGCATTAGGATACAACAGAGAAAAACCATTTGTCTTCTTTTCATAAGTGATTAAATTTTTTAATTAATTAATTATTTTTAAAAGATTTTATTTATTTATTTAACAGAGAGAAAGAGACTCAGCGAGAGAGGGAACACAAGCAGGCAAGCAGGGGGAGTGGGAGAAGGAGAAGCAGGCTTCCCGCAGAGCAGGGAGCCCAATGCGGGGCTCCATCCCAAGACCCAGGGATCATGACCTGAGCCGAAGGCAGACGCTTACGACTGAGCCACCCAGGCGTCCCAAGTTTTTTTATTTTTGACAATATAGTCTATATTCAATGTGTACAATGTAATGTCTTGACACATGTACACATTGTGAAATGAGTACCACAAGTGATCAAATTAACACATCCATCATCCCAATGTTACCTTTTTTTGTGGGTGTGTGATGAAAACCCTTGACATCCACTCTCAACAGATTCAAGTATAGGGTATCTTATTAACTGTAGTCATCTTTCTGTACATCAGGTCTCCAGGACTCATTTGCATTATAATTGAAAAGTTGTATCCTTTGATCACTCTCTCCTTTCCCCTTACCCCTCAGCCTCCGGTAAGCACCACTCTATTTCTACAATGAGTTGAAAGGTTTTTTTTTTTCTGTATTTCCCATGTAGGTGTACTCATGCAATATTTGTCTTTCTGTGTTTGGCTTATTTCACTTAACAGAATGTCCTCCAGATTCATCCTTTTAAAAAAATGACAGGATTTCCTTCTTAAGGCTAAATAACATTCCATTCTGTCTGTGTGTGTGGGGGGGCACCCATGTGTGCCACATTTTGTTTATCCATTCATCTGTCTATGGACACTTACGTTGTTTCCATGTCTTGGTTGCTGTGAATAGCCTGCAATGAACATGAGTGTGCAGATGTCTCTTTGACATGGTGACTTTATTTCCTTTGACTCCCAGAAGTGGGATTGCTGGAACATATGGTACTTCCATTTTTAACTTTTTGAGGAAGCTCCATACTGTTTTCCACAGTGGCTACACCAGTTTACATGCCCACCAACAGCGTATAAGGGTTCCCTTTTCTCCACTGCCTGCCAACGCTTGCTGTCTTTTGACTTTTTGATACCAGCAATCCTTACAGGTGTGAGGTGGTATCTCATTGTGGTTTTGATTTGCATTTCCCTGTTGATCAGAGATGTTGGGCATCTTTTCATATACCTGTTCCAGGACTTGCTATTTGTCATGAAGATGGATTAAGGGTTGAGAGAAAAGTTAAATAATCACACAGTTGGAGAGGTGTGTGGTCTTGGAAAGCAGAGGAACCCAGCTTAGTGAAGGGGGTTTGCTATGGCATTCGGGGATTCCATGCAGTTTCCTTTCTGTCTGTTAAGGACATGGTCAAGGCCAGCACAGTCAGGGGGTGCTAAGTAGTGTCCTCCACCACCATCCCTGGACATCTCCAGGGAACCCAGGGTCTTCCCAGTAGGTTCCCATTCAGAGTCAAATGCTGGTCAGATGCTGCCAGAGGTGTGATGCCAGGCATCACTCCCTGGCGCAGCACTGGTACTGCTTCTGCCCCCATCCCGTCCCCTCCCCCGCATAGTGTTGGCCGCCTGCCGCCTGAATGAGCGTGGCCCCTGACCTTAGGGATCCTGGGTAGTGTCCTGGTGAGTCCACAGACCAGGCACACATCCTAGCTCCCCAACTTATTACCTCGGTGCGCTTAACTGTTCGTCAATTTTGCAGCCTCTCATCTCTTAAAATGGAAGCACGGTACCTTAGGCGCAGGGTTAGAGCGAAGAACTTCAAGACAGCGCCTGTAGAGCGTTTGTCCCTGCGCCCCGCTAAGCACTAACCATAACAAACCACACGTCACAGATCCAGGTGAGGGACTGTCTCTGGGATAACGGAGCAGGGAGGGCTCCAAGTAGGTGACGCCTGAGTGACGCCCGCCCACCGGCCACCCCAGTCCACGCCCCACCGCCCAGCCCCTCCTCCACCCCTGCAGATTTGGCTCCGGGCCAAGCCCCGCCCGGTCGGGTTCTCCTCCTGCGGCCAGTAGGGGTGAGAACCCGTATGGAGTCAAGTGAGCATGCGCACGAGCCCGGAGCCACATCCATTGGCAGCCGGCGAGGAGCGTATTGATGACGCATCAGGAAAATACAGGAAGTAAGGCCTACGGGAGCCGAAGTGGGCCTAAAAGACTCCGGGTTCGGGCCTCCTGGGCGGGAGGGAATGAATGGGTGCTGACCGGGAGGCGCGTCCGCTCTAGGGACAGGCCTTAGGCGTGTGAGTGGCCGCAGCATGGAGGACGACGCTCCGGTGATCTATGGGCTGGAGTTCCAGGTGCGTCCCAGGAGGGCCCCCGGCGCCGCGCGGTTTGCAGAGCGAGGCCGGCGCGTCCCCAGCCCCCCTGTGCAGCTGAGGACCGGGAAGGGGGGCTGCGGGGGGCGCCTTTAAAGGACCTGGTTACCCAGGAAGGCCCAGGGTCCTGCCTGACGCAGGGTGGGCGTAGCGCCGGCGCCCACGACCCCCGGGCTGGGGAGTCCCCGCCGCCGCCTCTCCCGACAGCCCTGGGTGTTGCTGGGGGCTGATGTGTACGTACCTGTGTACGGTTTCCTGCAGCGTGCAGTTCGTGGAGGCAGGCACCGCATCTGTGGGTTTTCTGGGGTGGGGGAGACGGTCGTTTAATTGGGACATAAGAGTTGGAAAGATAAACGGAAAGTTCCCTGGTACCCTACACCCAGTTTCCCCTAATTTTGACGTCTCACGTGACCATGGCAACTTGATCAAAGCTTTGAAATTATTAACATGGGTGCAGTCCTATGAATGGAAGCACAGACTCTACTCGGATTTCACCTCTTTACCATTCATGTCCTATTTTTCTTCACCCTGTACTCTGCAGTGCCTGTTCACCGTGACCATCACGTAGTAGGTGCTCAGCACATGACTGTGAAATGGATGGGCCCCCACCCACCGTGTGAGCAGTGAAGCGGGAATGCGCATGCAGTTTAGCAGGACCGCAAGGAAGTCTATGGATAGCGGGGAGAAGTGAGGGGGGAAAGGGGTCGGGGGGAGCTGGAAGGGCAGGGAGGTCGCACTGTGCAGGTCCTAATAGAGCCCTGTATTGGTTTCAACTCTTCAGATGGGGTTTTGGGAACCTTAAGGCACTTAAGGACAGATATAGAGACAAAAAACACAGTTCACTGCCTTATGAAGTACCTTATAACATAATTGTGTGCCCCAAATGTGTGTTCAAAATATAAATTATGGGGGCACCTGGGTAGCCCAGTCAGTTAAGTGTCTGCCTTGGGCTCAGGTCCTGATCTCAGGGTCCTGGGATCGAGCCCTGTGTCCAGCTCCCTGCTCAGCAGAGAGTCTGCTTCTCCCTCTCCCTCTGCTGCTCCCCACCGCTCATGCTCTCTCTCAAGCAAGTAAATAAAAATCTTAAAAAAAACCCTAAAAAATAGAAATGATTTTGGTTTCAAGAAGCTCACATTGAGAGAAGCTGCAGCGTTACTTGCTAAAAGCCTGGACACCACCACAACTCCTGAAGTTTAAATCCTGGCTCCAGGGGCATCTCGGTGGCTCAGTTGGTTGAGCGTCCAACTCTTGATTTCGGCTCAGGTCGCGATCTCAGGGTTGTGAGATCGTTCCCTGCCTTGGGCTCCCTGCTCAGCGGGGAGTCTGCTGGAGATTTTCTCTCTCTCCCTCGCCATCTCCCTTTCCCTCTTCCCTTGCCCCTGATTGCTTGTGCTCTCTTTCTAATAAATAAATAAGTAAATAAATAAAATCTTTAAATCCTGGTTCCAGCACTTACTAGCTGTGTAACCTTGGGCTTCAGTTTCCTTGCCAATGAAATGGGAAAGTGAGCCTGGATCCCCTGTGGCTCTTAGGAAAATCAAATGAGTTAATACATTTAATTCAAGCACTTAGAACATTGCCTGGCACATAATAAGCATTCAGGAAATGTTCTAATTATTATCATAAGGCAAAATTCTTATGGATAAATCCATACAAGGCAGTATCCAAGTGTCCTGTGAGGAATGAGCTGTGTTACAGTGTTTGACCTTGGGCTCCATTACCCAAGATTGAGCCTTAACTAGCTGCTTTTGAGAGCGTTCTTGTGGGGGCTACCCTGCTGTAGACTGCCTGTATTTCACTTCTCTCTCAGTCCTACTTGTAGATGCTGTTCTGTGGGCCACGCCCACCTAGCCAGACTTGGGATTCTAACCTAGAGAGGCTTTAAACTCAAGCGAACTTCAAAGCCCCTTAAGTACAAAGTTGCAGTGCTTTCTCCTGGAAAAGGTGCGTGTGTGGCCACATGCAGAGGGAGCCTGTGGGGAGATTGAGGGTCCCTGAACTCATACTTCCTAAAGTGTACATCTGACTCCAGTGTACCTAATCACTTCTTCATTTGCTTGAGAAATAACAGAGGTTTTTGATCTTCAGTGTTGGGTCTTTGAGATAACAAATGTTATTTCCCGGGATTAATATCAAGGAGTGGATCCTTGCCTTGGGCATCAAATGTTTTATCTGAATTTCTCCTTTATCTTAAAAGAAGTAGCAGATTTTTATGCTTCTTTATTTTGGACAGCTTGTGGGCCATGACATTCTTGAATCTGAAGAACTGTTACTACGGTAAACATAAAAAGAACTGGAAGTCACAGTGGAGGTTTGGTTGTCAGTGACATTCAAATCACTGTGGAGAACACTTTACTTTCGAAGATGGGGATCTGGAGGTGCCTGGGTCACTCAGTCAGTTAAGCATCTGCGTTCGGCTCAGGTCACGATCTTAGGGTCCTGGGATCGAGCCGTGCATTGGGCTCCTCACTCAGTGGGGACTCTGCTTCTCCCTCTCCCTCTGCCCCTCCCCCCTGCTGTGTGTGTGTGTGTGTGTGTGTGTGTGTGTATGTGTGTGCGCGTGCACTCTATCTCTCTCTCTCTTAATAAACAAAATCCTTAAAAAAATAAAAGAAGATGGGGATCTGATTGTTGTCCATTGACTGAGGTAATGAGGCTCGAGGGTAAAATGAGGTCCTTCTATGTCAAATAAAAGGCAGAAGAGCACCATACAGGGGTCCTTAAAATAAAAGTGCTGAGCACGTTTGTGTTTATGGGACATTATGGCATCATGTGATTGACATCTTTTAGCTCATAGGAAGCAACTTTTGACTTGTGTTTATGATTTTAGTTTTTTTTTTATTTCTCTATATTTAAAATTAAAAAGAAAATCCAAGTAATTCTTACTAGTCTTTTAAGAAGTCAGATTGCTGAAAATCTGATTAAGAACTGCAGACCCTAAACACGCCTTTTCCATCTTATCTGTTTCCTGGACAACAGCCACATTCAACTTAGAACTGTTTCTTCTCTCTACCACTTGTTCATAAAGGTTGTATTTTTTTTATTTATTTTTCAGAGAGAGAGCGAACCAGTGCACAAGCAGGGGGAGAAGCAGAGGGAGAAGCAGGGTCTCTGCTGAACAGGGAGCCCAATGTGGGGCTCGATCCCAGGGGTCATTACCTGAGCCAAAGGCTTGACTGACTGAGCCACCCAGGCACCCAGAATTTTAAGTTTAACACCTTATTTTTGTGTATGCGTATCCCGACTTTCCCGGTGAGTGGTGCGCTTGCTAGCCCTGTGCCGGTTCAGCTGCTGTTCGCCCTCTGGGTGCCCCAGTTGCCTGTCGTGCATCCTCTTGTCCAGTGTTTGGGTTACTGGGCTAGACGGTCCCAGCCCGCTGTGCTGTTCCCACCATACTTGTTTGCAGGATGATTACTGGAGTCTACTTACATTAATAAGACAAGGAATATACTACCCCTTCTGGGCTGGATTTTAGGGCTCTTTTCTGAAAGGGGGGAGAGTTATTTTAAGTTACTCCAGTAACCACGGTCAGGTGGGAGTTGCATTGACTGCTCCCAAACTAAGCACAAAGACACCGCATTTTAACAGTGACACATTTTAGCACAAAGCCATCTTATAGTTACATTCTATAGATTTGTTGCATATTTGAATATTGTACACATTATTCTAATTATGATTGTAATTTTTGTTATGGCTGTTTCTCCAGCATTGTTTGAATTTGAAATAGTGTAAATGAGACTTCAGATGCCTTCACGCACACTCTCAGTGTACTGGGCAGGAGAAATCAGCCTTCCCAGTTTGAGTTTAATCTGAAGTTCTCAGTTAACAGAACTGTAGTTCTTTATGACTATTTCAAAAGTCTCTACAAAGAAGATTATTTCTCTCCTTCACGCTTATTTCTTTGAAACTTTTGGCATTAAGAAGACCCTCTTGGGGCACCTGGGTGGCTCAGCTGGTTGTGTGTCTGACTTGGTTTCGGTTTAGGTCATGATCTCGGGGCCGTGGGATAGGGCCCCGTGTCGGACTTCGCGCTAAGTAGGAGTCTGCTTGAGATTCTCTCTCTCTCTCTCTGCCCCTTTCTCTGTCTCAAATAAATAAATAAAACTTAAAAAAAAAAAAAGAAGGCCTTCTCTGGTTGCGAGGGCCACTGGTCCTTCAGCAGACATGCCGAGGGACCACTCTGCCCCACTGAAGTGGCTTGAGTGTGTCCACCTTGCCTGTTCCTGAGCCTCGGGCGCTCTCCCGACACTGACTTTTGGATCTGTGGTCACTAGCTGTTCTAATTTCTTCCTTTCTTTTGAGGTTACGTTTGGTCGTTTGTATTTTCCTAGGAAATTCCTTCAGTTATTTGGTCAACAAGTACTTTTGGTCTACAGTGTGCCAGGCATTACTCTCTGCCCTAGAACAGGGCAGAGAAGGAATCAAACACCAACCCAGCAAGCCTCCCTCCTGGAGGCCCGTGTGGAGAGCAGAATCCCGAAGAGCCTTAGGCGTTCTTCCAAGACTCCTCAGTTGCATGCCTAATTTGTGTGTTGTCATTCTTTTTTCTTAATGTAAGCATTTAGACCATGAATTTTCTTCTGAACACTGACTTCTTGATTTTACTGTTTTCTGGGTATCTTACGGTTTGAACTCAGTGTCTTTTATTACCTGAAACTTGTTGGGGTCTTTCTTAGCCCTGCCCCTACCCCTGCTGTGAGTGGGGGTCCGCCCTTGTGTCCTTCCTGCAGTGGCCCTGCGTGTGCCTCGGGGGGCCCTTTGAGCCCAGGCTTCGCCTGCGGTTGTCATGCCTTATCTTCTCCAAGCTGTGTCTTGATATTTTTCCCCTTTTACTTTTCTGTTCTTTTTTTCTCTCATTTTTGAAGAGGTGACTGCTCTGTTAGGTTTTATAGACGTGTGCTGGTATGAGCTTTGGCTCTTCTGTGGCAGCATGTGGTCCGCGCGTGTGTGTCTTCTGAGGTCTTTTCCCGCTGTTCTGCCTC